ATATATATATATATATATATATATATATATATATATATATATATATATATATATGTTATGTCAGAGTCTCTCAAAGAGACAGTAAACAATCTTTATTTCTATAGCATTCCATAAAAATATATGAAGTTAAAAAATATTTTATATATGTATTTTTTTATTATCTTTCTTGATTTATTTTAAATCGACACAGACGTGTAAATTATTGCTGTAAAAATAAAATATTTTCTAACTTTATATACTCCTATAAAAAGCTATAGAAATAAGATTTATTACTATCTCCATGAGAGAATCTCTGATAACAAGTATGATAAACACAATTGTATCGATAACATATAGAAATTGCGTTATCATACTTGGAAGATATTTTAGTGAAAAGTTTGAATCTGATCGCACGAAAATATAATGTAATAAAAAAGGTTACAATATAGATATTGCAAAGAAATTATTATCCACAGAATATCTCTCTTGTTAAATTTTTTATGCAAAAGTGAAATATTTAATACACAATTATGCATCAGCATAGAGAAACCCTTAAATTTTGTAATTAATGTGCAATTTTAATTACTATATACTTTAATTACGTATATACGCGCGTTCGTATATTTTTGTAACAATTTTTCAGACGAATAATTGCAAGATGCCAATACACTGAACCATGATCAAATACGGAGTGCATTCTGCACTGTCAAAAGAACGATTTTTCAATCTTGCAGGCGCGCTATTGTCGCACATCTTTTCCGGGGCACCCTATATAATGGGAACTCAAACAAGCCGCCGGCGTCGTAAAGCGCACGTATACACGCCGAATCTCGCTCCTATAATCGTTACATAATTTCTATCGCGCATGAGGAGAAATTCGTGCTCGAGCGACTCGTCGATAGTTATCGCGCGAGCGGACACAGGTCCGTTCGAATTTCGCATTCGTGTCTCATGGGGAGCTCTCGCCTCCCCCGGGACGGGGATGTCGCGCTAATTCGCGAGGTTCGGCAGTGGTTGTGGATATCGGAATTGACACGGCATTGACACAGCAAACGCCGCTTGTTCTCCCGCACGCGCGAACAAACGCGACACAAAGCTCGCGACAGTCCACTCACCTTCTTGCCGTCGCGAAATTTGACGTTTCCCTCGATAATGCAACTGTTATCCACCATTGTAGATGATTCGCTCCGTTATCGCGCCGCGCCGTGATGTTTTTCTCATTACCGCGTCCGATCGTCCCGTGCAGCCGAGATCCCGCGGCGCGACACCATTTGGACGCGGTCGGCCCACTTTTGTGCACCGCGGCGCACAGACCTGCCGTCTCCTCGCCTTGTTTTTTTTCCGCTCACGGGAAGGGACACGGACGGGGAATCTGCGGCGCCGACGATGACCACGAATCACGCGGCAAAATCCATACTGCAAGAGGGGTCAGTCCCGAGCGCCTGCCATCTTGACGACATCGGCCTGCTGCGTGCACTAACACGCTCGCGCTGTCGCGCGAGGAGCGCCGAGCCGCGACGATGCCGCGATCTGTGAGACGCTGGCGGAAACCGTCAGCGAGACTACAAGATCGATAATATAACTTCTTTTTTGCGAATATCGATTTGAACAATTTCCCACATATCTTTGAGAATTTTGAGACGACCAGTGGTAGAACTATGTAAAAAATAGACGAAGAAATGGAAAAAAATTTCCTGTCTATACAATCACGTGCAACGATTCGTCGAGTTTGACACACGTGATTGTATAGACAGGAAACTTCTTTCTATTTCTTTGCTATTATTTTAACGTAGTTCCACCACAGTTTTCGGAAGAAAACGCGCCAGGAACTTGGTCGTAACCAATCAGTTCCTGAATGAAGACGGGATCTATCGTGATAAATTACGACAAATTACGCTGCACGCTAACGTCCTCGCAATAAATTGCGGCCATAATAAGAGACTACAACCTGAAATAAGCACAGATGGTAAAAGTGGCATGCAATTACTTAGAGACCCCTCACAGGGAACAATGATAATAAATCAATAATATCTTTTGCGTCTGTATAGACATTAATTGAAAAATGTCAGAAAACCTTAATAAATGTTAAGCTGTGTATACGGTTAAACATAGATCAGACGGATGTTTAGTTAAACTGTCTGAACTAATGCAATAAGTTCGAATGAACCAAATATATTTGTCTCACTCAAACTTATTGCACCAGTATGCACCAGTACAGAAAGTTCAACTAAAAAGAACGGACCCCATAAGATGTCATCAGAATGAACTAGTGCAGAAGTTCTTCGAAAACGAACAGATCCCAGACAACACATGTCCAAAATCGGGTCATAAGACATCCTTAAGACATTTTTAAGATATCTGTGTAAGACAAGTTTATAAGGTATTGTCTTAAAGATGTCTTAAAGACGTCCTAAAGACGACTTATGACTCGATTTTGAACATTTGTGCTGTTTAGTATCTTACAAGTCTCTCTCTTCTTTTCTAGGCGCCTATTAAGGGCAATATCAGCAATTACAAGTCTACGAATAACATCGAATTGAAGAGCTATCGACAGTAGAGGTGAATCGAACGTGCGAGATATCGACGGAGCTATCGATCCGTCGGGAGCGAGAAGAATCGGACGTCGACTTATCGATCGAAAATGGCGTCGTCCCTCGTCGTCGAGTCTCGCGAGACGCGTCAGTAACGAGGACGCTCGTTCGTTGGTAACATTGTGTGCGGTTAGCCGTGCTCCTAACGACAGTTTTGAGTGGTGACAGCCGCGTAGACGCTCGTTAGTCGCAAGCGTTGCGTCCTGCACATACACGTCGACGGACGAGAAAGGTGCGTTCGGGCTGTGACCGCGACTCGAGGACGCGCGACTGCGATCGGCCGCACGGAGACAACGCGCACTCGAGGTGAGCAACCCGACACATTCGATACGGTGGTTACCAGATGGCCGCGAAAACGGCCGTCCACCTGACAGCTAGTTTGTTTGGTAATACAGATAACGTCCGCGCGTATCTTCCTTTCCGGTTAATGCATGCCTCGTACACGCGTCCCCCGTGTTATCGTTTTTTTATCGTTTCTCTCGCGCTGATCACCGTTAATCAGCTTCGACGAGGTATCGGCACTTTCACGTGAGCATTTTCAGTTTCCTATCGGTATGCGAGCTTGACGTCTGTATTAATTGAAGCGCCGTGAGCGATAAAGGTGGGTGGGAGAGATGGGCAGAAGTAGAACTGCGAAAACTGTGCAAAATTTCATCTCTATATGTGCGCGTGCCTGCGGAAATCGGGGGCAATTAATGTTACCGGCATTTATCGGAGAGATGAGAGAAAACTGTATTTTTTTTGGAAAAACACGCTCGCCCCTCCGTTGATTACTCTCTTGCAATAAAAATGGGAAAAGTATGTTCTTAACAAATGTTTGGTCTTATGGTGAATAAGTGCATTTACGAAGAAAGGGGAAAGCAATTTTTTTTAAGACGGGGAAAGATGGCAAAATCATAAAATTCATTGTATTTTACAATATATTTTAATGTATCTGTTATGAAATTTATTGATGCAATAGAAATAAAATCAAAGAATTTAGAACTTACATTAGATATATTTAGAAACTACATATCCAAAAATCTAAGAAATTAGGGAAAGAATCAACATTTTCAGAAAACAGTTTTTGAAAAATTGTTAGATTCACAAATCAATTGCAATAAAATTTTCTTCTGCAATTATCAAATAATATTTTCAAATATAAAATAAATGAGATGGACACTCTCTCTCTTTCTCAATTAAAAATTATTATGAAATTCGAGTCGCGTTGTATTCACACACGCACACATTGTTAGACTTTCATTAGGGTATAGTTAAACAAATGAATCTAGGTGTGTAGAGAATAATGTTTCCGGCTATTACGTGCTGACCTTAAAAACCTCACGTTATCCACGACGTTAATAAGATTAATTCGCTACCGTGTGAGAAAAGCAAATGAGCATGATGTAGCAGCACTAATTTTCTACTATTTCGCTGTGGTACTGTTGTGAAACTGTAAGGTGAAACGGTATCGAAGTACGTGAAAGTCTCTAGGCCGCGTCAAAGTCGCCCAGAGTTGTAAAAGATCGAGCCTGAGTATTTCTCGCGGCGCACACGGAGAGGAATACTTCGACACTCTCACAGAACAGCGTACGCCCATCTCTCTTCCACACGTCGTTAAATTCCTAATTAGATAGAATTACATTTCGGTGCGACGGAAGGATTCACGCTGCGTACTCGGCGCTAAATGATTCCGGCGAGACGAGAATATACTCCTCTGACATCGACGGCAACACGTTCAGCATCGATGAATTTTTCGAGAGAGAACGGATTTTTAACAAAAATTTCGATCACGCCGTTCGCGAGAGCGGTTTTCGATTTCAAGGTCGAGTGCATCTCGCTAATTGCGAATTCGGAGCGAGATCTGTCGTCCTATGATTATTACAGAACTGTTTAGTGATCAGCGCAGCCGACTGCTATGATTCGAACGAATCACTGACACGAACGGAAGGATTGATTGATCAACCGATGGGTTGGCCGACCGGCTCGCTATTTAATTTCTACGCATCGTCTGTCGCAATTTGTCCGTTCCGCAACGAGTGAATCGCGAGTCAGGTGGAGGCGCGATTGAAATTCTCGGTTGAATTAACGGCGCACAATTAAATCACGCTTCGATATTAAACCTGTCAACTCGCGTCACGTGAGCGGCGTAGCATCTGTGCGATTTTAGGACGCTTATCGTTTCGCTTGAGCGACGACACAGAACGCGCATTGCATCAGCGAAACTCGGAAGCAGACAGCGACCTTTGGCGCTAAATGCCGCCGCGAATTACGGGTCAATAGCTTGGCACATACCGGATTTACGTCTCTTCCTTTCATTGTCTCGACGTGTTTTCGCGCTGAAATCAGGAAATCAGATCGGCTACATCACAGCAGCCGTCGACGACTCGAACGCGAACTAAGTTACAAAAATTAATATATATATATATATATATATATATATATATATATATATATAATCAAATATATCAAGTAATATAACTTTCAAAAGAATTTGAAGGTTCAAACCTTCAAAGGGGGTTGAAGAATTGGAGTTTTCACATCATGGCCGTATATCCGTATCAATCTTCTTGCAATTTGAACTGCGAGCGCATTCTTTGTAAGATTCTTCGATTTTATCGAAGCCTAATTTTCGCTGAAAACACCACGAATTCAACTATCTGAGGAGTACGCGTATCACTGTCTTGAATATAATTTTGTCTTTTTCTGTCGCTGCGTAAATCTTTATGTTATTCTGCAACAATCTGTACAGTCAACGTACAGTTGATCGACTGATGTTAAAAATTAGTAAAGGAAGGAATCCTTTTCTAAGGATTCAATGAGGGATCAAAACATTTGTTTGTAGATATTTTAAGAAATTACATATTTATATATACCTCTCGCATATATTTTCAGTGCTCAACTCTTATAGACTCCTTTTTACCAGATTTTTTTGACAACTGAAATTCCTCCGTTACCGCGACGGAATCTATCATGGCGTTGACACCAGCTAGTCTGAACAGACTTCGTGCAGAACTTGTCACGTCCCGTATCTCTGTGCTTTATCAAGTTCACTCGTACGTTGACAATTCGGAGCGGAATGGCTCGTTTTCTTACTAGACACCTATCAGAGATGAAGACGTTCGTTCTTACATGGATGTTCCATTAGAAACCTTTCAGACATACCTCAGCGAGTACACGCGTACGGAAATTTTATACAAAAGTAGTTGACATCGACGATGTTAACCCTTCTGGTCACGTTCAATTGGAGTCACGTAGACGTGTGGGGCGCACCGCGAGCCATAACTAGAGCAGATAAACCCGCTTGCCATTGTCTATATTTACATGTCATACTGATAGCGCGACCGATAACGCGGAAGACGTGGAAAATAAAAAGGAATAACAGGGAAAACTCGTGCAAATTTCGCTGGACACTTCAGCACAATTCGCGCGAAAATCTGCCGCTGCGACTACACACGACTCATCGATGAAACGGGAATAATTCTCGCATTAAGTGCACGGAGAAAATATATCTAAAAAATAGTAAATATTTCTGCGATGGACACTACTATATGACACGTTTATTCACATTGATATAAAATATTTTTCTAATAATAAAAAAATACAAATTTCCTGAAAACCTTAAGGAAACTTTAGTTTCTCCGGAAAGCAATTATGTATTTTGTTTTAATAAAAGAATTTAGATTCAAGGTTCCTGGTTTCACTGCTGTGGAACCGTGGATTGATTACGTCAGAAGTGAGGAAACCGATGCCAAAAATTCCTGCGTGCCATTTCTAAATGAGAAGATATTTGTACGAGAGAAATCCAGATCGCTCGAGCATACTTATAGAACTCATCGAATACAATCCTTTCCCCTTGACAATCAATAAATAGCCTTGAAATTAACATGACAGTGCAATCTTTCTGTTTAACCTACTTTTTCTCATGATTCGGCTATATCCGGATTACTCGAACATCCTACAAGTATGCTCAAGCAATTTGAAGTGTTCCTTCATACGAATATCTTTTTATCTGAAAAAATGACACGCAAGAATTCTTGGCATACGTTTTCTCGCTTCTAACGTCATCAGCCCATGGTTCTGCAGCAGTGGAAGCAGGTGCCTTAAGTAAATATGTCATCAGTGTGCCCATCAAATAAATATTTACTCCTTTTCACATATTTTTTCTTTCGGTGTACAGTCATTATTCTCGCATGAAAGTATAATTATTGGCGTGGAGCGTTTTTTTATACGAATTCCAACTAGAAATGCGAACATCAGACGCTGAAAACTGTTTGAATTTATAAGCACTGCTCTATTTAAAATAATTCCGCAAATATGATATTAAATATCAATAAAAGTGGCATTTTTGTCTGACTACGTTGTATTCGTCTTAAAGTATCTTACAGTATTATGAAAAAATTACTTGATACCATTTAAAAAAGATAAATTTCAAAGTTACGTTGATCTTCTTTATAAAAATTTTTTTCTACTTTTTTTTATTGCAAGTAGTAGCTTGCATAAAAAAGATGAATGTTTTATCTTTTCTTTAAACTTTTACAACCTTTTATGATCTTTTTACGATCTTTTCTTTAAACTGTCGGGAGCGTCACAAAAATTGTGCGGATCATTACGCTGAATGCCCTGTGCGTATATACAGGGTGTCCGGAAAATCGCGACGAATATTTCGAGACGTGATTTGGGATCCCAAAAGAAGGAAAAAAAAGCTATATAAACATAGGTCCGGAAATAAGTCGTTTCCGAGTTATAGCCACTTTTATGTTAAAAAAAAATATATTTTACATTCCGCGTGGCATCCCTTTTTAAATTGGGGCAGGCCTTTAAGCTCGGGTTCAAGGAATTGTTTACAAAAATGCGCCCAATAATATTGCTGACTTAAGACAAAGAATAATTCGTGGATTCCGAGAAATAAGGACGGATCCAAATGTTTGTCATAGAGTTCGAAATTCCTTTGATAGGAGAATAAGGGCCTGCATTCGTGCTGAAGGTGGTCATTTTGAACACCTTATTTAATTCGATTTAAATATCTATTTATGTTTATCCTTGATTTAAAAAATAATGTATTTACAAATATCGAAAAATAAAAAAAAATAAAAAAAAGAATTATTAATTAAAAAAAATAATAAAATTTGAAAATTAAAAAAATTAGGAATTTAATAAAAAATTTAAAAAGGGATGCCACGCGGAATATAAAATACATTTTTTTTTAACATTAAAGTGGCTATAACTCGGAAACGACTTATTTCCGGACCTGTTTATATAGCTTTTTTTCCTTCTTTTGGGGTCCCAAATCGCGTCCCGAAATATTCGTCGCGATTTTCCGGACACCCTGTACACACACACACACACACACATATATATATATATATATATATCATTGTTCTTCAGGATGGCCCAAAGAATGTATCATTATGCTCTTGAACTTCCGCAGAATTTCTATTCGATAGGAAACAAGTGTCCGGTGGAAATACATCCGACAATCTTCTGAAACTCGATTCAGCGGGAAAATAATGCCAATCCCACGGAAACGTGGCGCTCTCGTAATATACCTAGGTGTGTCCGCACACAATTGAATCATCCGACTCCGTTTAAATGCCGCGGAATCTAATTTTCCTCTCGTGCACCGGCGTTTGACGCGAACGCCCGCAAGAAAGGACTCGGTCGCGATGCTCGATCGGGGCGATTGCACGTGTGTTCGTTTATTTATTTGCCATGGGAGAGAGACAGGAATGTCTCTCCTGGAGAATGTGTCGTCCTTGCAGATCCAATTGCAACGAATAACGTTCTGTTCGATGGAATAGTCTTTTGCGCCATCGAGCTCGTTTTGATACGTGGCGCCGAATTAAAGTTCGACAAAGCATAAGCCCTGTATTGTCGGTTGTGTGCAAAAATAGAAGTATGTCACCTGTTGCCTACCTACGCGTTTAATTCTTCGCCCAACGACGTTACGTAACTCCAATTTTCACCGCGTATTTCGGACGGTCATTACACGCTATCAAAGCGGCGCGTTGCAGTCGAACGCGCTTCTCTCTTTTTTTCTTTCCTTTACCGGTTTCCTCTTCTCTTTTTTTCTCAAAACACTCTCCGGTAAAAGCGGCCGGGACTCGCGTCGTCCCTTCGTCGTCGTGAACGACGACGTTACTACACATAAGCGTTCGCGGCCACGTAAGCGCTGTGTGAAATTCCAGGGACGGTATTACATAATTGGTAATTTCCCGCAAAGCTATCAGCAACTGTGTATATTCGGGTGAGAGAAAAACTCGTCTGATAATTCCGTCGAAATCGCGATCCGAAGTATAAGCTTCGGTTTGCAAAGCAGGTGGGAGAGAGAGAGGCGGGGAGAGAGAAAGAGAGAGAGAGAGAGAGAGAGAAAGAAATAATAATCGATGCGTTTATATGCAATTTTAATTATCACTGAGAATTATAAGCGCCGAGCTCCACGCAATTAGCGTTAATATTTCCGCGAACGGGGAAATTCACGCGGGAACGAGCGCTTATTAAAAAAGTTAATCCGCGACTTGCAAAGAGAACGTGACCTTTTTTCTATTTTATTCAAGCGGAAATCAACTCTGCATGAAGATTCGTGAAAATATTCTCCGACGAGGACGGGAACGTTTTGCACAGGAAGGACCGAAATTGTTACGTCATGATGTAATCTAGTCACGAGCAGAAGACCGTTGCAGCGGCGAACGAACGATGACGAATGCGCGCACATACACACAAGAGCACACTTCTCAGTACTACGATATAATACCACTAGGAAAATACACATGGAGGAGGTATAATCACCATTATTGCAAAATAATTTCATTTCATTCGTCATCTTACATCACGACACCGCGCTGATTCATTGATCCTTCAATTAGTCCAAAATAACATTTTTTCTTTTTAATAAAAACTTAAGGGACTGCTTTATCACGTTGAAAGCTGATACTGGAAATTAGAGAGTTTCTCGACTGTTCGGGAGGGATCTTTCTGCTGGAGGATATCAATTAAAAGACATTTCTGTGCAGAGAAGATGTCGCGCACGAGAGCGATTATTAAATTGTAAGTTTCAAATGGAAATAATGGGTCATTCGTGTAAAAATGTCCAGCTTTCGTTTTTATAATCGCACAGAGGGGAAATTACGAGAGAGGAAAGCGCTTCAAGCTAAAGCATATCGGGGAAACAATTGCTGCACTGAAAATTAAACGTCAAGGCGCAATGAGCGCTATTTGCAACTCGACATAAGACTGAAGCTCTTCAGCCCTGGGAGTGAAGGTGCTGAGCATCGCAAGAGCGATGTTCTCTCGAGGGATTATAACAGATAAATAGAAATTTTGACATACACACACACACACACACACACGCGCGCGCGCGAAAGGACATTATCAAACATTTGTGATCGAGAAACATTGAGAACGCCCAATGTTTTCTCTCTCTCTTTCTCTCATTCTCTCGACCAGCGGTCCGCGGTGTTCTTTTATTTATTTGTCACGAAACGGACGTCGCTGCGCATGTGGAGCGTCCTGGCCTGCGCGGGCTGCATCGACCCTCAAACCATTTCGTACTTTCCAGTACGTGCCTAGGCCGGATCCTGCCGCGCCGGGTAATCGGGAAACGAGAGGAAACGATCGCTTCGTCAGCGAGATCGAGTTGACCGTTTGATAAAAATTCGTCATCGAACGGGCGTGTGTAGGTGCATGCATTTCACGTTCAGATAGGGCGAAAGAGTCGCGAACATCCGAGCGCGAATGTCCTTTCGACATGCATTATCCACGGCCGGATATATAATTTTGGCAACGTCTGCTTTTCATTTTCTAACAACTGTCGCTTTGAGTGATTTATGAATCAAACAGCGACTTGGTTTCGCGTACACGAGACGAAGGGAGTGCGACTGACGTTTCGCGTGTGTAACGAGAGGCCGAAATTGTGCCGATTCTGACACTCGGTTCGCGTGCTTGTTGAATATCTTGTGCATTGAATATTGAACAACGAATAGGTATCGTGTTGCGGGCACTTTCGAAACGACAGTCACTCACTTCGGGAAGCGACCGGGAGCCTTGCATGAGACAGAACGTTGAGTTTCATACAATTATTTATGATACAATTTTTATGTAAACGGAGTGTGTTTACTTGTACGCTTAATCTCAAGTTCTCGTGTCAATATGGGGATAAGATAGTAATATGTACATACAACAACGTGTATCTCGAAAATATAAATGTCCACATTGATTGAAATTATTCGATAAGTAAATAACAAGTGGATATTTCCGAATATCAAAATACCCATGAATTTTTGTATCCGATCAAGAAACATCCGAGAAATATCGGTTCATATGTTTTAATCGGTTTATTTGATAAAATGCCATTATAATCTGATAAAATGCCATTCTAATCGGGAGTATTCAATTAAATTTAATTGGATATAAAAATTCGGAAATATCCGTCTGTTAATATTTTATCGGATAATTTCTCTCAGTGCATAACTCTGGGGATACTTAAAGGAGCAGATAGAAATGGAAAAAAAAAACGGAAATGCTAAATTCGAAGCCGTTAACTTTCTCGAGTCGGCCGGTGCGAGGTGACGCGCCTTGACAAACGGTATCCCGATGTATATTCTGCTCGCTTCCGTTTCGCTGCACCCGCGCAGTACAGCGTAGCATGGCGCAAAGCGAGTTCGTCATAATAGCTGGCTCGGATTCACCTGCTCTTTCGCCCGCTAATTCGTTCACACGCACTAATTGCTTCCTCCTCGGTCTCCTGTCTGTCGGCGTGGAGTTACTCTTTGCGCGTTGCGCTTCACTGAGCGCGGGGCACTTGCACAAGGTGTTCCACGGGAGTACTGTTACCTACGGAAACACGCGATACGCTATATCCTTCGTTATATAATAACAATGTTTTTTAGTTATAAATTGTCTCGACGTTGAGCAGTCTGTATCTGTTTCATCGTCGACGGACAGCAGCGTGGAAAAGTGGAGAAAGCCGAGCCGTCACCTATTAAAGCATGTTGTCCAAAATAATTTTACACGGCAGACTGCCGTTCGGCGTTCTTTCACATTCTGCAGAGTTTCTTTATGGACTTTACATTCATATTTACGTGTCCAATGCATTATTTTTGCAATCTCGGTCCAAGAATTTTCCTTCACGATCGCATCTTTATAATCTAATGAAGATTTGTCATATAAATGAGGGTAACCTTTTACCAAATCAATTAATAAGGAGTCTCCTGCATTTGTTATGACATCAATTTTATTGTTCTTTTTATTTTCCACTGATACAACTCAGCTTTGATTCATAGGAAATATGTTTAAAGGAGTATATATTGTTATCCTGTAAGAATCTCGATGCATAAGATGGTATAAAGAACCGCGTAATTTACTGATTGCAATTGGTGATCACGTGAGGAAACCTTTCCTGAAATCTCGTTATTTGGAAAATATTTTAAAGTAATACGCGGAGTAAGAGCGTCTGAATTATCAGAGTTCGTACCCCACTCTCGGCAGACAGGTCACAATTTATTCACGCGAGTCATACCGATGATGTACAATCAATCGTTTAAGAATGAATGATGCTATAGGCATGCACCTCGACAATTTCTGCGTGTAAAGAAATCGCGAGACTGGGATAATGTGAAGGTATGGACGAGGTGGTAAACGGGTAGCGCGCCTTCCGCGAACACTAAAATCGCTACGGTGAAATCGAACAAAACGCCTCGATGGTTCTTCTCGGCTTGCTGGCCCCTGCGGCGACGTTTCGTTGGAGGAGAAGTAAAACCGCGAAAAGGTAAAATGAGCACAGTAACTGATAGATTGGTGGATGAATGCATCGATGGATATTTTGCTCGTTTACTCCTTTTCATATTTTCTTGTTTTCTTCTTTCGCACATCGCGAAGAGTGCGTCATCTTTTGCGTTTAACTGAAAAGTTTCAATTGGGTCATCAGGAAAGACAGTCGAGTCGCGTTCGAGACGCGCGACTGAAGGCGAATAAAGGCACTCGGTGAATGTGTATGAAATAGATCCGTCGCGCCGAGCTGTCGCCCGTCGAATCGTATGGCGTTAATTGCTCTCCGTCGTTTCATCCGCGATCCGTTTCACTTCGTTTCAGAGGCCAAGGCGTCGCTCAGGACGGCATAAACGCGTCGATAAACGGCCAATTGGGTCTGTCACGTTATGGACCGCAGGTGATGAGCGTACTGTGTTTATGCACCTCCAACATCCATCAGTCTACCCGTAACGTCATACAGACCGGCAAGATACTCCCGAGTCCGCCGTTAGACACCCTTTGCGAGCAGCGACTAACGCCCTCGCAGGAAATACCCACGGACGAGCTGGCTCTATTAGCTAAGCTGGAGGAAGCAAACAGGTGAGCAATCCAATGATCTCGGTTAGTGCTACAGATCAATTTTTATCTTCGAGTTTTGCTCATTAAAAAAGAGAGAATGAATCGCGTACTTATGAATTATGCGACTTTCTGTTCACTCGGCAAAGCCGAGAAAGATTTTCGCTCTTTCGAATATATAGACTCGAGACTCGCAATTGATTGCTTGATTTTTGTCTGACTTCCAATTCGGATCAGCCACATGAGAAAAGTGAAACACAAAAGGGAATTATAACTCACCATTTTATTAATTTCCAGACTGATCGAGTCCGATGCGAAATCACTGAACTCGCTTCAAAGTAATCACAGCAGGAAGGGCTCCGACACATCACAGGTGTCTGTGGCGTCAGGGGGCAGCGGAGGAAATGGAGATGCTGCACCTGGACGCCCCAACCCAGCCGATGTCGAGGAGAACACGTGGACCCTCTGGGGTCACATAGTGGCCGATTGGGAGTATCACTGGAAGAAGCGGAAAGATTCGGTCAAAGAATTGGTTCGTCAAGGCATACCTCATCACTTCAGGTGAATTTACCAGCTCACGTGCATTTATTTATTTTTTTACTTTTAAACTATTGTAAATTCGTTTTAAGAAGTTTTCACGGTTTTGTATTGTTTACTATGAAAGAAAAATTTTCCTAAAAGACTTATTCAACATATTTCTCCAAAATAAGCATTTTCTTCAAAATTTATCAGATGTACAAAAATCGCGGAAACTTCCAAGACAGTTCAATATAGATGTTTAAATATGAAACATGAAATCTTGTACACTAATGTGCAGACATAAACTAATATTATAATATAATTATAATATTGAATATTTTATATCAGTCCATACAACATTTTAGAGGTATTGTTTGGCAATTGTTAAGCGGCGCCCATGACTCTCCCGTTAAGAAGCAATTTGCTGAGTACATTAAGGCGACGTCAGCATGCGAGAGGATAATTAGAAGAGATATCGCCAGAACGTACCCCGAACATGACTTCTTCAAAGAAAAAGACGGTCTCGGCCAAGAGAGTTTGTTTAACGTTATGAAAGCGTATAGCTTGCACGATCGCGAAGTAGGATACTGCCAAGGCTCGGGATTCATAGTAGGATTACTTTTACTGCAGGTAAACATTTTTGACAAATCACGGAACAGAAGAGAGGCTTTATAGAAACAGGAAATTATTCATGGATTCATGAGTTCATTATCGTCTGTTAGAGCATTACTCGAAGTATCTATGACATTCTATTCTACGCAAGAAACAGTATCAGTCACTCACCCGAGTATTTCATGTTGCAGCAAATGCCGGAAGAAGAAGCTTTTGCCGTACTCGTGGCGCTTATGCAAGAGTATCGCTTACGGGACATGTACAAACCAAGCATGGCTGAATTAGGAGTGTGCATGTACCAGCTAGAACATTTGGTTGCCGACACGCATCCCGAACTTCACGCTCACTTTACGGTCCACGGCTTCCATACTTCGATGTACGCATCCTCTTGGTTTCTCACACTGTTCACCACAGCGTTAAGACTTCCCGTGGCGTGTCGCATTTTTGACGTGTTTCTGTCGGAGGGTATGGAAATTATTTTTAAAGTCGCATTGGCGATGCTGCATTTAGGCAAGGAAGATTTGCTCAGTTTAGACATGGAAGGCATGTTAAAGGTAAGATTTGAGTTAAGATATATTTCCGATGCTATCAAGAAGTTTGAACTGTTACATTCTTAGGCACAACCGATAGGAATTGCGAAGATATTCGTTACATTTTAAAAGTCAAGTCAGAAAAGATGTTCGTAACTTGGACTTTTCTCGCAGTTCTTCCAGAAACAATTGCCCGGAAGAGCCGAGAAAGATCCCGATGGCCTCATGAATCTTGCGTACGGAATGAAAATCCTTCCAAAGAGAATGAAGAAGCTAGAAAAAGATTATACCATTTTAAAGATGAAAGAGCAGGAGCAGATGGTCGAGATTCGCAGGCTTAGAGCTGAAAACAAATTACTCAGACAACGAACCGAACTTCTGGAAGCAGAATCCGCGGAACTCGCCGATAGATTAGTTAAAGGTCAAGTATCGCGTGCGGAAGAGGAGGAGACTGCTTTCGTAGTGCAGAGAGAATTGGCGGCGCTGCGGCATAAGCATCTCGAAACGAGCCATCGGCTCGAACAAGCTCGCGAGGAGGTCAGGTCGCTGTCGCTCGTTCTCGAACAGAATGCTGTGTCTAGAGAGTCATCGCTTGACGAAATTCTGACGAGACAAGAAGCATTAACATTGCAGGAAGATATGATACAGCTGCTGCAAGAAGAATTAGTGAGAGTCAGATTGCATGACGCGGAAAATGACGCATTGATTAAGGAACTTAGGGGAAGAATACAAGAATTGGAGCAAGACAAGAAGACTTTGCGCGAATCAACGCCGGACAATTCCGTCGCGCATTTGCAGGAGGAACTTATCGCGGTTAAGCTTAGAGAAGCGGAAGCTAATTTATCTTTAAAGGCAAGATCTTTAAAGGCCATTTCTACTATTAAGAATCAATGATATTACTATAATAACTATACTTACTGTTCTTACTAGAATTACGAGACCGAGATATTAACTATATAATAATGATAATTGTGCAGGATCTGCGGCAGAAAGTCTTGGATCTAAGCGCGGCTTGGCAGAGGCATTTACAAGATCACCGATCTGGTCTACTAACGGCACCTGCTGACTCGACGCCAAAGAAGCTGATCTTTTGGGAGAATCGGAGTTACGATGTACAGAAGCTCGAGGAAGACATAATGACGTCCCGGATGCGGGAGATGGAAGCATTGGCGGAAGTCAAGGAGCTTCGTCTCAAAGTTATGGAGCTAGAGACTCAAGTGCAAGTAGCAACAAATCAGCTTCGTAGGCAAGACGAGGTTGGAAAAGTACTTAAAGAGGAATTGGAGGTTGCATTAGCTCGAGAGAAAGATCTAGCTGTCAAACTGAAGGAACAACAGTACAAATATTCCGACCTGGAATCGAAAATGAAGGACGAAGCTATGATGGCCAGGATACGTGATGCGGAACACGCGCAGCAGGTCGCGGAGCTCACGCAGAAAATATCTCTCCTTGAATTAAAGGTTCATATGATACAAATTACATACAACACTTTAATATCGTTGGGCTGAAGCATAACGACTAACGTATTTCTAGAACGAAGAGATGCACGCGGAGGGTGAACTGCGGAATAATCTAGACGACAGTGAGAAAGTAAGGGAGTTGCAAGATAAAGTTGCTGAATTAAAGGCTGAGGTATGTGAAATTCAACAATTCATTATATCCGTTGTATTAACAAACGTGCAGTATCTCGGAATATTGCAGTAAGGGGTGAATTAAGTTTCATAATACAAATAAGAATTTTCTATTTGTCATGTAACATAATACGTGTTAGACAGTTGCAATTTCAATTTATATATAATTATGATAATCATGAATCATACATTCCCATATTTTATCATTATGCATATAGCATATTTTATGGTTTGATATTATGAATTTTTGTCTCATATTTCTTCTATATTTAATAAAAATTTATATAAATATATATAAATAATAAAACAAAAAGCATCAAAGTGTTAAAATCTGACAATACGATCACTTGAGACAACGATTCATATATTTATTACAGTTTCACAATTATGTGATCACAATTGTGGTTTTCAGTAATAATTAAGACTTTCCTAGTATTCTATATGGAATCCCATTTTATGAAAGATTTTCCTCACTTTTTTTCTTTTTTAAAGCACCGTTATGTGTTCTTTTTTTAACTATGCAAAATATGTGTGACACTGTGTTTTATAAAATAAGTATTACGGTAAAAATACATCACTTTGATGCTATATTAATTTCAAGCCAAATATCCACTTACATTATTTAAGTGTAATATATATATATATATATATTACTTGAGATTGTATAATTATACCGTGCATTCTTAATAACGATTGTATTATATATACAACTAGACGTTCTGATTTTTAATGTGCTATCACATACTGCACTCTTTAAAAAATATAAATTCGTGCATACTGTGTGAGAAATTATTTCACTTTGCAAAGTTGGTACATTCACATAAGAATAATTCGCCTCTTTGTCCGTGTCGTACACTTACAAAATAATTATGCACAAACTGCACCTCTTACTGCAATGTAACGCTAACCAACACGCTTCATAACATCGTTGCTTCTGGTGAATTGCGGGAACGAAAATATTGCTGATTACCTTAACTAAAATTTATCTTGTCAGTGAACACTGGTTACATCAAAGAATAAAAAGTAGCTGTTATGTATAATATAATCTTCAAAGAGTGGAAAGACATTAAATGACTCAGTAATGAGGGATTGAAATATTACAATGACAAAGAGAAGAAACGAAAATACTATACAGTAGTCACATTTCATTCAAAGGCAATCTACTGTATATATCATACTAGTTATCAACAGATATCGATAATTCTAAGCAACTATATGAAACATACTTTTTTCGGTACTTATTAAATGTCATTAATATGATGATGCTTAATCAATTAGGAGAATGTAGCTTTGCCTCGTTTACATATTACAATAATTTGTTGTTGTATAGGTACCTATACACATTAAGAATTCGCAATGTCGCGCAAATGAACCGGCTACGTAATTTCAAATCGGATAGATCATCTGTATCTACTCGCGCTTGATACATTGCAGCTTGTCATATCTGCACTGCTCTCTGAGGAATGTGACAATCGAAAATTTCGATTTTACTCGAATAATACAGACAAGCTACAATGTTTATCATCTTTCTAAGCATTTTTATCGATGTTTCACTCATCCAACATAGACCGAGTTGAAATTATTGTTGAAAACTAGTTTAATTAATTTTGTTGAATGTGTACGTTAACAGTGTTATATTAGAAAATGAGAGTTAGCACAGCATGGAGACTGACTGATTGCTAAAAAGTTATAGCACACTTTAAGATGTTTGTTGAGGATGTAAACAAACCTAATTAAATATACGCTTTCGGCGTGTTAATAATAGCTCATTATCGCGTTTACATCAAAATTTAGAATTTATCAAAACAAGAAGATCGGAAATTTAATCCTGCTTAGAAACATTGCTTACAAGCAACAAATTTGAGACATGCTGTTGCCAAACGTATGATAAAATGCACAAGCATAATCGGGCATGAGATCGTGATCGAATGTGCTCTCTTTCCTGTTACATTTCTTAAAGGATCGACCTAATCAGATGCGCATACGCGATTTGACGCGATATCGTTCGTACCGAATAATGAGGACAATCAGTGCAATACGTGATTCTTATTGTGTAAAGGTACCAGGCGGTAACTAATGCTAACCAGAAGGGACTAATCGTTGTTGTAAAACTAACCCTCTATTGCTGTGTTATCTCTGTCTCCTCAGTTCCCCACGCCAATCACCAGCCCGGAGACTGAGCCTTGGCGCTGGCTCGAGTAAGTCTTTAATACCCATGTGTAAGCATCATTTTCTACCGTCTCGTATACGTGGCATGATGTTTCCTGTTTCCCTTATTTTTTAACTGTAAAAAAAATCTGTCGTCGTAGCTGGACTTTCCGACGTATCTCATTATGTACTTCGACCTTTCTTTTAGACAAAACCGGGATTTCATTGAGTTTTTTTTTTTTGCGTTTCCCTCGGCGATCTGAAGTCTTCGTCCCACGCTCGCAAACGGTGTGTATATTTGTGTGTAGAAATATTACACGGACGATTACGTGAGACAAAGAACAGACTCACGATGCGAGATACAAATTAGCACGATCAATTTGATTTCTAATCGTACTTGTGTGATCGAATGACGAAATATGTTCCGCGAGAGCTACCGAATCGGAGATATTTTGTCGGTTTGATTTCACTTTGTAAATATCAGCGACACTTGTCACTTGAGCCGCCACGAGTAGCGGACCATCGGTTGCGGATGAGTCTGCATTAAAATGTGGCTCATTTTCTGTATTATACGCGTGGTGATATGGCATGGCGTTCTCTTCCTATCTGACTGCATGCTTCCTTCGTGTTAAGTTAATTGTTTCGTTCTAATAAACATTCACGGCCTTTGCTTTTAGCTCGAAGGAGAAAAAACGCATAGATGTGAAAGAGGCGTGAAAGTATCTGTGAAAGTATCGTAAGACTTCACCAAATTTAGTGCAGAGTTTATGAGTTTTCTTCTGTCTGTCGTCATCATTCATTCGCACGATTTCACGCAATATATGATAATTATGCTCTGTAATATTACCTGTATACTCTCCGTATATCAGACAGCCGATAAAACGTCGAAGATATTCTTGCAGTATGCCGAAAATCGTTGTAAGCTTTGTATTTGACCGGTTAAAACAGCTCATCTCGCCTGCGAACAAACGTAGAAAGCGATATGAAAATATTCCGCTTCGATATACTTGGCCTTGCTTATCTTATTATGGAAGTCCGCAGTATTTAAGTTACTAACAGAAAAATTCCGCGAGGCTCGATATAAAGATGTTTTTCCGATAATAATATTTTCGCCATTCTCCTGTACAGCTCCCTGAGTGTCTTTGCTGCGAGTCTCGAGGCGCGCTTTGTGTACTTGTTTGAAAAAAATATGTCGACGCTATTGCCAAACAATTCTAGATCGATCAATTGACGATCCCGGTAATCGCTTTAATAGGTCGTACGGAATAGCGAGTAACTCAGCAGTCAAGTGTCTCTCGAACAAACAATAACATTGATCTAAGATCATGTTGACGTATTATATAATGCATTGTGTAGTGTGTTGCTTGTAGTGCGTTTCGATTTACGTTCGCACCCTCATGTCAGACAAAATGTGGAGATAAAATGTGGAGATAAAATGGAGCGAAATTGAAGATATTGAATATCGAAGTGGAGTTGCAAGTCGAAACAATAAGAGAAAATCGTTTTGCATCCCTGATACTTTGTTCAAAGAGAGAAAGGAAAACGACTTCTAATTTGACGGCTGAATTTTACGAGATAGCTTTGAGCAGAGAGAACGAAACGTCTCTGCGACTCAGTCGTAATTTGCAAAGCGCGACGTCGCGCACGAGGCTCTCCGTAGGATTACTTGGAAATATATTTCACACGACGTTCGTCTGTCACAGGTCATGAGGCTAGAGAGTTGGAAACAACGATGGACGGGTCTGGGAGGGCAAACCGTGCGAAGTTTTAGCATCGATACTGAAAGCGAATTGGACGAGCGGGATCTCAGAATTTGCTTACAGGATCATATCAATACGACCACGCCAAACTCACCCGAGGTATAGAACTCTATGTATACCAGATACATATTAGGCAGCTAACAATACTCCGTTATCGATGCGCGCGAACCTTTTGTTCGTCGTCGGCTTTCGCTGTAGGAAATAACGCGTATGCGCTTAGATCGTAACACGAGAGTAGAGTGTCGTAATAATCCCGTTTAGTTACGTGTACTACCTATATATTACTAGGCCAAATATAATTATACATAGTCATTAATTAGTTACGCTCTGTAACGACGAACGAAACAAAGAAACGATAGGAACTTTCAGTAAAACGAGCGAAATAATCTCGATCGTAATCAGGGCCCGAAACAATGTTCTTCTTTCATTTATTTATTTACACACACAACGCAATATATGTATATGTGTGTGACCTGGAATTCAGGTTTCTTTCGAGTATTCACAGTATTCTTCGGGTATCGTATCCTATCAGGATAAGAAAAAAAAAAGGAACCGTCTCAGTACACAATCACCTAACGCAATGATGTAATATTTTTTACTACCATAGTAAGGCAAATGTTCTAGTGATAGAACGTGTACTAATAATTGAATTATTAATAATATATTTGTGTTTGTTAAAATGCTTATCAATAAATGAAACAAAATCACAAAGTAACTAAATATTTCTTTTCATTTATTATATTGTTTTGTATATTAAAAAGCATTTTAATAAAGAAAATACAAAACTAATATGTTAATCATTGGGACATGTATGTTCGATCACTGGGACGTTTATCTTAATACTATATCGTTATTTTACACTTTATAGACTATTATGCAGAGTATTATAGAGTGTGTATATATATATATATATATATATATGTGTGTGTGTGTGTGTGTGTGTGTGTGTGTGTGTGTGTGTGTGTGTCTATATATATATATATATATATATATATGTATATATGTATGTATGTATGCATGTATGTATGTATGTATGTATGTATGTATATATATATACACATATATATATATATATATATGTGTGTGTGTGTGTGTGTCTATATATATATATATATATGTGTGTGTGTGTGTGTGTCTATATATATATATATATATGTGTGTGTGTGTGTGTGTCTATATATATATATATATATGTGTGTGTGTGTGTGTGTCTATATATATATATATATATGTGTGTGTGTGTGTGTGTCTATATATATATATATATATGTGTGTGTGTGTGTGTGTCTATATATATATATATATATGTGTGTGTGTGTGTGTGTCTATATATATATATATATATGTGTGTGTGTGTGTGTGTCTATATATATATATATATATGTATATATGTATGTATGTATGTATGTATGTATGTATGTATGTATATATATATACACATGTGTGTCAGTCATAGAACTAACGAGACACGGAGTATTATATAGGACATAATTAACGGTTGTTCGTTATCCAATAGTATCGCTGTCGCGATAGTAGTCCATCTTTCAGACAAGATTTAGACTGATGCACGATAATTTCGACAAAATGTTCAAAAATATCACTGACTCAAGTTCAGTCTTTTTTATCTATCGTCGATCAAACAACATTCCATCGCGATTTGCTGTCAACAAAAACGACAAAGAACAATATCTCAAGGTATCTCTCGACCCCTGAAGTATTTTTTTTTTTTTCAATGGATGTGAACGATACGATTGGCGCGGCTAAAAGAGAAGAGTATCTAATAACGTTAATTCCAAGACAGTTGGCTTCTTGTTTTCTCCCGTAAATAGGTAATGCAGGACCTACATTTCTGCGTTAATAATAAACTGTAGGATCTAACATATGCGCGATGCATGAATATTTTATCGTATAACTCGGACGTAACTTGAAGGTGTCGTTCTTCTTGGTTCTCCATCTCTATTCGTTTTGAGGATCTGAGGACCGGATCTTTCGGTTTCGAAGCTTGATTACGATCCGCAGATTATCCGAGGATTATCACTTAGACTTATTCCGTGACACACGCAACTGTTTTTATACGCATGACATACTCTGTGTATTTTTTGTAATTCACACCAAATGTAATCGCATTTAAGAAGTTGTATATTGAACGCCGGAGAAAAAAAAAAGAGAGAAGTAAGAGAAAAATACGTGGTGACGGAAGTATACCGCCGTTTTTTATAAATATATGTATTTACATGTGTGTGTGTCACACGAGGGATCATCGTATATATATTATATATACACATCATGATATTCGTACGAATACATAGGTACCGCGTGCGTTATTCTAATCGAAATTTGACTATTTAAAGTTTAACATACACACTATATATTCTCGGATAGGGGAGAGTATATTGAAATTCTTATTATTGTTGTCCTATATATGTATATCATTTGTAATATACCTATCGAATTTCTTATAAAAGGAAAAGAATAAAAAAAAAAAGATTACTTTTTACGGACGACACGTGCAATTTACGCACAGCACAAAGCGTACGTCTCAATTGATCGATTAGTTTGAAGATGAATTCCGCGCAAAAAAGAGAAGAGACTCTGATGTTTCGGAGCGAGAGAATCGCTTCAGTTTTCAGTCGACGATTGCAGATCGTTGAAACCGAATGAGAGAATAATCGGCAGTACTTGTTGAAAAGATTAGCGACCGCATAGCTCGTTCCTTACAGCGACTAGGATAATTACTTCCAATGTGAGTAACTCGCGCGACGGACAACAACGCCTTGCTGTTACTACTTTCTTTCACAGCGAGTCACCGCAGCCTACTTGCAACGCGTCTCTTTCGCTTGGCCTAAATCGTTACATCCTTCTTCCTCTGTGTTGCGTTAATAATTGGCATCGATTAATATTCAACTCGTCGGTACGTCCCGCAAATCTTTCGCGTGTGTGCGTCGACGACGGCACACGCGTCACTTTCGATAGAGACTCTCCTCCTCGCTTCCACGCATGCATGTGCGCAAGATTTTAGCATGAGCGTGTGTCGTATTTATCGAATACAACACATACATATGTACACACACACACACACACACAACATACACACGGCGACATGGCACGACGCCACCGCAAAAACGATATTTCGTACGATTCATTAGTGCGTTGCAATTGCAGTGTGCTTGACTTTGGCGAACTTTGCATTCGCTCGCGCGATTCTCGCGAGCGTCTCGCGTGCACCAGCTGTGCTCTGTTATGAGAGAGGAAAGCTCCGAAATTTTAATACCGATTAAGAGGCTGAACGAGAGCTGCGTATAGACAAGTGTGCGCGATACACCGACTGTTTCACAATGTGTCAAGCAATGTAACTGTTGTAAAGTAGTAGCACGACGAGAAGAATAAATGTGCAAGATCGAAGATGAGGAAACAGTAAAGAGAGAAGTGACAATTACATCTGCGTTACTGATTTCGAGGGAAACTAACTACGTCCGCGGCGTTCCTCTCGACTATCGTCGAGTCCATCGTTTAGCGGCCGATCGCATCGCATTTACGTTGAATAGTCTCACGGCGAGTCGCAATTGCGCGCAAGCCGCGTTGTAGCGTGCTGATCGCAGCACATATCTGTAGTTTCTGCGTCATTGAAGTTGCGCATAGGTTGTCCTAGACCTACCGAATTATCTTTCAACTCCAAATAACGGAGGTCGAACTAATTAAAGCGGTAAATTGTTTGATAATATTACGGCTTCGATAATTGCGAAACTATCTACTGAAAGCTCCCTCCCCTCTTTCTCTTTCCATACAAAAGGCACGCTTAAGCGAATTATGTTTCGAGAACACTACGGCGTTAATGAAATTGTCATCACGTCGCTCGTCGATTGATTCGAATGAATGCGTCTCAGCGACAGTTTGACGTTGTTATTTTGAGATCATCAATCGTCCAGATATACTCTTTGATGAAAAACGATCGAATCGTGAGAAAGGATGCATGTAAAATTGATCGACGAGTTATGGCTCGACGAGATTCGCTCGCCTAGGCCTAGAAACGCCGCGAATACGATACGCGTTCGTTCCATTAAGCTCTAAATCATTGATCGCACACGATAAAAGCGAGACGATGAATAAATCAGCGCCTGCGATTGCATCCAACGGTATTGATAAATTAAGTCGCGCAAACTATGCGAATGCAAATCGTTTCCGATCATTCTTGTATTCTTGTAGCGAAACCTTCACAAAAAGGATCGTAAATTTCTCCTTGTCTCTCTCTCTCTCTCTCTCTCTCTCTCTCTCTCTCTCTCTCTCTCTCTCTCTCTCTCTCTCTCTCTCTCTCTCTCTCTCTCTGTTGAATTCGATACGATTATTGCAGAATGCCTATATTTCAGTTTCAAGATGACAAGACGTCGCTGCAAGAAGCAGCGTCTTTGCAACAATTTCGCTGTCGACTTTATCCCCTTCCACTCTGTCGATCAAGTATGCCCGAAATACGCGCGCGCGTGGGCGGAATAAAGCGACTTGCGGATCGTCAATACACACATGCAAAGTTTTGCACGTCGGGAGACATACGACGCACCGTTATTACCGGGCCGGTCGAAGTGCGCGAACGTAAATGTAACAGGAGTTACAATGCGTCGCGCCGTGGCATTAATAATTTAGCGCACGTTTTCCTGCGGAAACCAGCACGTTCGATCGGCGGGCGTACGCCGTGCCGTGGCCAAGATGCCGTGCGTTCGTTCCTATTGCAGCGCGCGCGGGGAAGGTCATCGAAGACCGCGAGCAATCCGCGCCCGGACCGTCATCGGCGCGGCGAATTCCGCGGCGTTTCACCCGCGTTTTACGGACGTCCGGGGAGTAAAGGGAGGCCAGGGAGAGAGCAAGAGCGCAAGAGAGACAGAGAGAGAACGAGAGCGATCTATTAATGGCTCTCACCGCGTTGCATCGCGTGACGACGAGACGTTACGGGCGTTCGTGACGACGCTGTAATAGACGAAATAGTCCACGTCGATGCGTTATTGCGTGACAACGTGCGAAAGCCGCGGCTAAACGCGCGTATCGAACCGGGTCCGCGATCACGAGTCGTCGTGTCCCGCTGCACAACGATCCCGACATCGGGGCTGGCTGTCCCACTTCTGCCGCGTGATTTTGCAACGGTACAGCTTCCCCTCGGAGCGATTGATTTTTCCCCGGCGGAAATGTCGAGGTTTGCGCTCCACGTGCCTATTTCTCTCTTTTTATCATTCCTCTTCTTTCTCCTCCTTTGCTTCTTTTTTATTTTATTTTTGCAGTTCTCCGATCTCTTGACATCGCGCATCTTCCTTACCTCAGCGAACTCTGAACCCGAGTCCCGTCCAAGCAAGAATTCCACCCGAACAGAGCTGTATTACTACGCAATTCCCTTTGAGGCATCTCTTTTTTTTTCTCAGTCGTTTATAAGGCAAAAACGGCCTTATCTTTCTCCTCGTTGAGGAGAAGAATAACACTTCGTGCCGATCGAAGAATTCGTTGAAGAAGTAACGCAGCAAAGAAGTGGAGTATTTTGTACATATATTAAAGGGCGTCGTCCTCTTCCTTGTCGTCGTCGTCCTAGTCCCAATATCGCCCTTCGTACGAGCAGTTTTTTCTCTACGTCCCCAAGCTCCGACTCATTGTGAATACGTATTATATAGATACACGGTGTGATCTTCAACAACGACATAATGCTCGTAATCGGAGGGAAGTAGTGCGTGCGAATGGTACATATTTTCCGAGTGAGTCAGCGCGCGCTACGACAGCCGGTGTGGATCCGACGTAGCCGCGAAGGGTCGATTAATTGGATCGAACGAGGAAAACGATATCCCATTTCATCCCGCGGAGGACCGAGTAACGTTTTATCGCGGTGTACAAAGACGCCATGTGTCATCTTTAGGCTTCTTCACGCGAGCACGTATGTGTATGAATCTGTGTATGTGTGTGTGTGTGCACGCGCATCTTTGTATGTTGCGGATAATTAATTTATTAATTTATTCACGTCAATAATCGCGTTTTAATATATGCGTGTACGACTACGACTCGACGCCAATGTGATTTTCCACGATATTTTAACGCAAACAGCTTGTAACGATGTCTTAATAATGTTGTATTTTTTTCTACTTCTGACTACGTCTGACTGATAACGTAAAAGCGAGAACGTTTGTCTTTCCCGGGATTTGCATATTTTATAATGTGACTCGTACGAGGAATGGTAAAAATTTTATGTGGATTTTTCGATGGACATTGAAAATACACACGGGATTATTATTTTTCCTTTTCAATTAAAAACGCAGCCTGTGCGCAGCAGGTGAGGTGACAGTATACTGAAATATTCGGGGAATTATTATTTCTATGTATTTTCCATTCTTGCTGAGTGAGCATCGAAGTAACAATCCAGAACTTTCTTTTTTTTGTTCTCCTCGGCGTTACCTGCACGAACCCGCACGAACAAAAGGTTGTTTTTATGTAAGGGATTATCCCTGGACATTCGTCCGTTTCTACTTACACGCCCCGAAATATACCTGTATAGTAGTTTGCATTGGTTAGAAGTAAAACCCGTAAAACAGAACCGACAATTCGTGTTAATAGCAGCTTAGCTGACTACATATTTAATTTTTTAAAACACGCACATTATCTCGGCATATAAAATGAGAGAGAGAGAGAGAGAGAGAGAGAGAGAGAGAGAGAGAGAGAGAGAGAAAGAATAGAACAAAATACATTCCCCTCAATAAATATAGTTTAGTATAGAATTTCAAATAAAATGTTGTCCAACGTGTTGAAACAGAAATGTTACATGTTGGCTTTGTAATCTTTAATATAATATTAATGAAGTTAATTTCGTAAATTGTGATTTCACACCAGTTTCACACTAGCGTGACATCTTTTTGAGAGGCTTTCTCTTTTACTAAATTATTCAATTTATTATTTATTTATTTATTATTTTAGTTAAAATAATAATGTTGTAAAAATAAAATGGAACGAGCATCTGTGAATGCCGTTGAAAACAATTCCACGTTACGAGTTCTAACGTTGTAGATGATTATTTCAGTGTTATTTCAACATGAAAAATTTACATTCGCTATGTTATACTGCCTGCGGTAGAAAAATATCGAAATTGCTACCGCGGAAAATACCCCGCGAGAGAGAGCAAAGTATTTTCAATAAAATACCGGGTTGAAATAGGTTAAACGGTTATTCAACGTAAAAGGGACGGGAGGCGCGGGACGCGCGGGGTTTGAAAAAAACTCTTGAACGGTGAATAATGCACAAACGCATCGTAAGATTTTCCACGCGGGTGCGTTTTCTGATAACACGTTTCATCCAGATCGATATCGTCGCTTTTCGCACCAGCGGCACTACCGGTAAAGAGAGAAAAAGAGAAGCAGAGGGTGCACCCTTAAGCCCCATTTAGACGGATCGATTTTCAACTGTTGTTGTGTGAGAACAGCTCGTGTGTGCAACTCGTAACGTTTTAATTTCACGTCGCGGCTTACACCATATGGCATCGCGGCCAATGCATTCTTCTTTATTTTTTACGCTCCGCTTCGCGCTCTCAGTTGCCTATATTTTATATAACGATATAATCGTGCTGTTGGTATTTTTAATTTCCGAATGTTCCTTGACTCATGTGTGCGCAATTTATCACAAATTCAACGCATGGGCTGAGCGCATTTCAGCGATAATTATATTTTTAAAATACGAGAGATAGTAATATGAATTGTTACGTAAACGAGTGGCATGTATAATTCTCGATTAGTTATTTAAATAATATTATAATGTTACAATATATATATATATATATATATATATATATATATATATATATATATATATATATATAATATATACACAATTACGACGAAATATTCGCATTGCCATCTTTCACATTTCTATTTTTCTTCATTGCATTTCTGTTCATTTATTGAGATGGAATTTGTCAAATACACATAGAAAAATATATATACTGCGTATTCAAATAAATGTTACTCGATCCAAGTACTTCATAAGTTTATATATCGGCTAATCTAAGCTCATCATAAACGTCAAATTTAGTCAAATTACGTTCTGGAATCTTCATAAGTTTAATATTTCAATCCAGAATACTAAATCAAAATAAAAATTCGATTTACTTACTTACATAAGTTAGACAAATTCTTTTTCTTCGATAAAGCCTTATAATAATATTGTAAAGAGAATACATTTTTCTTTTGAACATGTGATAATGAGCTTTTTAAAAATTTGTGATGAGCATATTTTAAGACTGTTATCAGGAAAACATTTGTTACGAAAGGAGAAAAGTGACTCAATTGACTTTCTTATGTAATAGAATGATATTTTTCTCCGTGCAGGCATCGAATCTACGTAGACCGATCATTTCGATGACGCCGAACGTAATATCCAATTTCAGGTGAAAAACCACTCGTTTTAACAGGATAAAAGTTATCTCTGAAACAACATTACCTCGTCAATGGCCTTCTGCGTCGCACATCGCGGATTTTATCCGCGAAATTTTCATTGCGTGTTCGAGGAAAATTCGCTTAGCCCCGGTCCGTTGTAATAATATTCTATATTCAGCCGACACCGGGCGATGGCTGATTGTGCGCGGCTCGATATAACGTCGCCCAAAGGCAACTAATTAATTATCCCGCGTCACAGTTACCCGGAATCGTCACCCGTATCGATCCTTTTGCTGCCCGTATGCGATCATCGTTGCGAGGTCGGTCCGCAGCATCACGAATATTGGGTCGGAAATATCTCGCGGATTTCGCATATGCGCTCTCCTTCATCCTGGACGATACGATAAGGCGGGCGGGTAACTTTGCGTCAAATATTCCGATCTCAACGCCATATCAATTTCGCCTCGATTGAACTCTCACAATCCGAAAAGCCGGTCTACAGCGGCGCGGTATGTCGTATTTTTTATCAATTTACTTTTTTTGACGCAAAAGTTCTGGCTCAAAAGCTGTAAAAGTCACCCAAAGAAAAACACGCCACCCACACTGTAAATCTACCGAGTACCGATTCTTCAACGATTGTAATCGTTGGCGTGGTCTCGAAAAAGTTTCATCGAGTAAGTACAACGTGAAATGCGGATTTCTCGGAAAGAGAAGCTCCGTGTCCAACCTACCTTCGTGCGAGACCGCAAAGGGTTTAAACGTCCCCATCGGAAGGGTGTCGTATCGATCGCTCGCTCGTGTCCACCGTCTCTCGGTCTATCGATGATTCTCTCTCCGAGGTGAAGCAGCGCGACGCGCGCGAGGGTGTAATTCCACCTCTAGGTTTAACGATCTCGAAACAATATTCTAGCCGGGCGACGGCAACAAATAAAAGGAGAGCGACAACAAGAGAGGGAGAGGGAGGCAGGAAGAGAGAACGAGAAATAGAAAACACATATATGAGGCGGGAGAACATCGAGTGCAGGCCGGGCCGAGTTTGCGCCCCGTAGACGGCGCAAGTTCCGGCAAGTAGTTTTCCAAACAGAGTCCATCGGCTGCGAGAGAGTGGAAAAAAGTAATCCGTGAAAAGGGGTTCGTTGTTGTGCGTCGCTCGGCTGCACGGCGTTGCCGTGTTTTCATGTGCATCGCGCTGCGCAGTGCAGCCCTGCGCGGTGCTGTGCAGCGCCGCCACGCGCGTGCGCGCCGCATTAATCGCCCGGGACGCGCGAGCGACGGGACCGATCCGATCTTCGACTTCTCGCCGCACGTACCCCGGGAACGATCCTCCGGATCCGCTCGATAGAACACGATGGACATCAGGAGCGTAACTAGATAACGGAGAGCCGGTGATGTCGCAACGTAGATCAACGTTCTACCAAGTGGTATACCTGCGGCAATGGCCGTCCTCTGCTCTTCCCGCGAGTTCTACGCGAGATATCGATGCCCTTTTCCAGCCCTGCTCGAACCCATTGCTAGAAAGTGGTGGTGGTGGTGGTGGTGGCGGCGGCGGTGGCGGCGGCGTTGCCGATTTTCCGAGCCTTCCCCGATACATACGCATGGGGAAAGAGAAAGATTGCGTGCGCGAGCGAGCGAGCGAACGAGCGAGCGCGTATAGGGCAGGGGTGGCCAACCAATTAAACATGGCGACCACGGTGGGGTGTGGCGCTCACGCATGCGCGCGGCCGCCACGGTAGGAAGAAGGGGAGAGCGGCGATCGGCGAGACACAGGCGGTAGGGGGAAGAAGGAATCGTGAGCGAACAGGCAACGACGAGAAGGAACCGGCCGGCGAGCAGAAAGAGGCGACGAGTAGTGCTTGACGTACGGTTTGTGTTGTGTGCGCGCTACCCGTCGAAACAGGCTCCAAGCGAGTGTACGCTTTTACGAGAGCAGGCATCTCAGCGCGAACGAACAAGAGGGAGAGCGTCTGCTTCGCCACAGTGATACCGTGGAGTGGCGTAGAAACCGCGAATAAAAAGGCGGAAAGAGAAAGAGAGAAGGAGAAAGGGAGCGAGCGAGCGAGCGAGAGAAAAAGAGAAGGAAAAGGGAGAAAAACGCAGTGGCAAGAATGACGATGGCAACCGAGACGGAGAACAACGGGCCCGAGAGCAAGGAAATTAAGGACGTGAAGGAGATGAAAGAGGCGCTCAAGGACGACGCGCCGCCGGATAACAAGCAAGAGGAGAAGGACGCGGCCAAGAAGGACGAAGCGGCCGGCAAGAAGGACGACGACGCCGCCGCCGCCGCCGCCGCCGCTGCGGCCGGCACGAACGCGGCGCCGGCGAAGGCCAGCACGGTGCACCACCCCGACTACGAGAAGGATGTTGTTTACCTGTATCAGTTCCCGCGTACCCCGCTGCTGCCGTCCCTGTCCCCGTACGGTCTCAAGGTGGAGACGTGGTTGCGACTCAACAATATCAAATATGAGGTGAGTGCCCGCGCGTTTCGCCTTTGCTCCTCATTTCCTTTTCTTCTCTCCGCGAAGTCGTCGAATGTCACCGAGCGTCTCGTCGTCGAGCCTTTCTGACGGGCGCGCGTGCCTGTCGGTCTCTAACCCGGCGTCGAGGCAGAATCGATTTCCTTTATCCTGCGTGTCGCGCTCTGTCTGTCGGGATTATTGGCCGCGCTCGGCGGAGGAAGCTGCCTTGTCAAATTTGCAGATTTGGCTGGTGTGTGCCACTAGGCTCAGCCAAAAGCACACGCCAGCGCTCTTCGCCACGGATTTCACAACAGTTGCAAAGCCAATTTCTCTGTCGAGCACGGCCATTATCTCCTAATGCGAAAGTATGCGAGATACGATATGTTCGATGCGACTTTTGTCTTCGAGCCGTTCTCCCACAGAAAGTCGGTCGCGTGCGCGCATGCAGCTTGTCAAATCGGTACCTGGGAATTTCGGGCGCGTACGCGACACGAAGGACGCGGGACCGGATTAATGTTGCTCGCGCGAACGAAGCGCGTCCACTCTGGGGATCTCGCTGGCTACGGTCACTTGGACCTTTTATATTGCAAGACGAAAATCGAGTCGCGTGGCTAACTTCGATCGCGACATCGATCTATCGATGCGTGCAACATCGATAGATCGCGCGCTCCAGCGCGTTGTCCGTCATCAGTGATGTCAAAGGCTAATCGTCGGGGGTTGTACGGAACATTTCGCGTATTATCGATGGGGCCAATTTGGGCCCCATGGGTTTCCCGAGGACGCGCGCGCGGGGCATTTCGTTCGGCCAGAAATCAGGGTGTGGATGAAGGAAGCGCGCTGGCACAACGCGCAGCGGCGACGCGCTCGTACCTTCCCGATGTGTGCTCGAGGTGTGTGGCTTACCCATCCGGTTATTCGAATGCTTCACGGCGCTCCAGGTTCGATATATCCGTGTATAATTCCGTGAATCATTAGGTCTGTTCTTTTTCGCTGCACTGCTAAACTGGTGCAATAAGTTAAAGCGAGACACATATATGTTTTCTCACTTCAACTTACTGCAGTAGTGCAGCGAAAAAGAACAGGCCTATTTTCTTGAAGGTATCTCGGCAAGGCGGAATCGCTCGAAATCGCAAGAATGTCATCATCGAACGCGCCGGGCACTTGTTTACACGCGCATTGTTTTTCTCGTTGCGTTTAAAGCCCGCTCGACGGACTCGAAATGTTGTCGCTCGTATGAACTGTCCTTTTCTTTCTTTTTGTTTCTTCTAATACGTAAACAGTCAAACGATTCTGCACTCGGTGCGTTGTTCGTACACTGTCAGCTCAAACACGGGAGAGTAGCTCTCGTGCGTGGAAGGAAAATCTCATGTGCTTAAGTGCATGCCACGACGCATATGTCGCCGGTACAATTATCATATATTGCGACGTGCAAAAATGCATGCATAAAGGCGGCCTTCGCGAACCGCTTCAAAATGGCGGCGACCGCCGCCGCCGCCGCCGCCGCCGTCGTTGTCAACTTTCGGAGTAGTGGTGCACTCGACCTAGGCGTGTACCCCGGTGAGAGAAGCGGTGCGTCGCGTTCCGCAAATTCGCCCCGCGACTCCTCCGGTAAACGAGCGAGAGCGAGTTTATTGCGTCGATATAAATGTACGATGGAATTCTGCCGCGGTTACGACCGCGAGAGCAGCGGGATCTAGTCGTAATCGAGAGGAAAATATGCGAGTATTAATGAGAACGTTTCCTCGGCCGTATCACGGTCGACTCGCTCGGTCGAGGAGATGAGCGCGGTAGGGAGAGAGAAACACGATATCCTGGCAATTTTCGTGAGATTGCAGAAATGTTCCTACGATCTTCCACTCCCGGGGAGAAGAGAATGCGTCTCTCTCAGGCGCCTTAATTGAGGAAATCTCTTCTACGGGGATCGCGCGCGCGATGCGTGTGCTCGCGAGGCATTCCCGATTTTTGTCCGCTAACCGCGAGAATTTAATAGCTGTGTGTGTCTATTCGCGCGCGATATGTCCGCCGCGCGCAGCTTTTGACGGGAAGCGCTCGGTCGTTTCTTTCCGCCGCGCGATTTTATTGATATAGAAAGCGGGGCATCCCGTTCCAGACGGCAGGAAAACGATCCATACGAAAGTTCCGCGCTATCGTTACGGCCGTGCTCGTTTCGGAAGCCGAGAAACCGCGAATACGAATAATAATCGCTCGCTCGTTTGCGAGCCGGAGATTTCCGCCGGACCGCTCTTTCCCACCGTCGCTGTAATTGTCGATCAGGTCGATCGATGCGATCAACCTCGCGATCAACCTGCTCCCCCGCGAATCGATCGCAGCCACGACAATCGATTGTGTTGCTTCTCTCGCGATGCTCGCGCTTTCTCGCGCGAAAGTTGAAATTTTTCCCACCGTGCGAGAAAGAGAGAGAAAGAAAGAGGTGGGAGGGGAAAGAAGGAAAGAGAGAGACGGCGCTCCGTCGTCTCGATTAATTATCGCGATTCATTAGGACGATATTGTGAGTGAAAATCATCGCTAATGATCGGGATAATGGTCAATTGAGGGTTCACTCGTCGGTGCGCCTTTATATCTCCATCATTGGCTCACAGGAACAGCGGGTTAACGGGCCTCTCGCGTTCTCATCGTCGGCGAACTGTAATCGATACAAAACGCTTCCAGCTGTATCGTAACCGGCGCGTCTGGTAAACCGCGTTTGATTCATCAAAAAGAAACGGACGGAAGCGGATTTACGTGGCACCGAATCGAGAAATGATCGCATCCAATTACCCTCGCCCCTCACTCCGTTTCTCCTCTCTTTTCTCCTCGAGCCCCAACGAAGAAGCAAATTGAAAAATGCGTGTACTTATTTTACTTATGTCCGTTTCTTATCAATGTCCTTAATAGAACCTTAATTAGAGTTTAATTCCTATTCGGGCAAAGACAGGCTCGGTTGCATCAACCGAATGGTAGGTTGACGGTTAAAACATGTCTGTCTTTGTTTATCTTGAAAGATAAATTTGACTGATTTAACTGTTAGCTTAACACTGGGTGGGTGTAACCGGACTTAAAATTTAGATTAAGGTTTAATTAATGTTCGTGGAAACGTGCATTATTTATGTCGTGCTTTCTTCCGGCGATACGGTACCTTCGACAGACATTTTTGCAGTTGGAATTCGCCGCGGTAGAAAAATATGCCGGCGGTTTCGCGTTTTGGTTATCGTCCCTCGTGGACACATTTGTCTTACTTCTACATTGTCGCTCTTGCACACCCTTGCGAGTCGTTACCCCGACATCTGTTGAACATAACACTCCGTCGGAAGGGAGCGGCAACGCGCGACCGATTCTCAACTGTGTGTTAAACAGAGAAATGCTTTTCGTGTCTGTAACGCGCGTTGTGCCGCGTTGGGTGAGCCTTGCTTCCTCTTCCTCTCCCTCTTTCTTTCTATCTCTCTCTCTTTGTCGATATTGTAGAGAGAGAGAGAGAGAGAGAGAGAGAGAGAGAGAGAGAGAGAGAGAGAGAGAGAGAGAGAGAGAG